TTCTACAAAACTGTATCACAACTGTGATGTATACACAAAATGAAGCTTAGAAACTAGATTGCTAAACAGTAATGGAATATCAGAGTGTGTGGTTTAGCAAAACTGGTAGAACGAAGATTATGGTTCAGCTTTTGTGCGTGTAGAGATTTGGAGAGCATTAGCCATTATAATCTTCAAAGCTTTGTTTATATAGCACTTGAGATGATGAACGTTGGATGCAATATTCTTGATTCAATGATAATAACAAGCTTTCCTTATTGAGCAGATCTTGTCTGGAATGAGGCCGTTGGAATTAATTAGCTTTCAATGCACAGTACCGTTGCTTCCTTAACGCAAGTTCTGGCTTGGCTCATTCTGATTCTGCTTCGCTGCTGATGAACTATTGTGTTTCTGTATCAGAGTATTGAGCGCAGTCTTGTTCATCAGGCTTCAGCATGTACGTGAGTTGATCATCTGATTTTGACGTTCTGATGTAGCAACTTCTGATGCTGGTGTATGAAATCAAATTCTGATGCTGAAAAGACGTGATCTTGCTTATATCAATCAGAGTATCTGCAAGTCAGAACATAATAATTTTAGGCAGCAGATAGTTCATTCATGAAACTTATAAATACTATATCTTTTCACTTTGTTATCATCAAAACGCAAATATAGGGTAGTAGATTCAAACATTGTTCTAACAGAATAAACTAGCTTTCTTCATGCAGCTTTATCAATTGCATACAGTGGAAAACTTGCAACTTGGTAAAGATTTGGTGATCTTATCAGCAACATTGCGATCTGTCGAAACCTTCAGCACTTGGACTTCTCGATGCTCGATTACCCCTCTGACAAAATATAGCCTCACATCGATGTGTTTGGTTGGCTCATGATAGGTTGAATTCTTCTACAAATGTATAACACTTTGACTATCACATTTAACAATGATAACTCGACCTTAAAGTTTTAGCTCCTTAACAAAAACTTTAAGTCACAATGCTTCTTTGACAGCTTCAATGAGGGAAATATATTCTAATTCAGAGGCTGATAAGGCAATAACCTTCTGAAGTGTCGCTTTCCAACTTATTGTTGTGCCAAACACAATGAAAACATATCCGGAAGTAGATTTTTTGGAATCCATACAACCTGCATAATCAGAGTCGACATACCCTCCAATTACTGCTTTCTTATCTTCACCACAAGCTCCACCATAAATTAGGACTATGTCCAGAGACCCACTTATGTACCTTAGAATCCACTTCAATGCTTGCCATTGAGCCTTTCTAGGATTTGCCATGTACATGCTTACAGGACTTATTGCATATGCTATGTCGGGTCTACTACAGATCATAACATACATCAAAGAACCTACTATGTTATCATATGTGATGCTATTTATATAAGCTCTTTCGACCTCAGTATTGGTACACTGATCGATACTCAACTTGAATTGAGGGTTTGTTGGAGTCACAACAAGCTTTAAATTTGACATACCAAACTTTTCAAGAATCTTCCTTAGGTATGCCTCTTGAGATAAGCATAATTTCGACTGCTTTCTATCTCTTCAAATGTCAATCACAAGAATCCTGGATGCATCTCCCAAATCCTTCATGTCAAACTCCTTATTGAGTTCAACCTTCACCTTCATTACATCCTCGACATTGTTGATTTCTATGAGAATATCATCCATATAAAGCAACAAAATAACAAATAAATTTCCAGGTCGAAATCTGGAGTAAGCACAGTGGTCAAACTGACTTCTAATGAAATCTATGTATGCCATAAACTTGTCGAATCTCCTATTCCATTGTCGAGGAGATTGTTTCACACCATATAATGACTTGTTCAACTTGCACACATAATCTTTTCTCCGTTTTCTGCATAACCTTCAGGTTGCTTCATCAGAATTGTTTCATCTAGATCTCCATACAAGAAAACAGTCTTTACATCCATCTGTTCCAGTTCTAGGTCAAATTGTGCCACCATGGCAAGTAACATTCAAATAGATTTGTGCTTCACAATAGGAGAAAACACATAATTGAAGTTAACACCTTCTTTCTGAGTGAAACCCCTTATTACCAATCTTTCCTTATATATTTTTGACATAACTCCTTCGATTCCTTCCTTAACTTTGAAAATCCACTCACAGATGGCTAACCCGACTCCAGCTGATTTTTTGATCAGTTCCCAAGTATGACTATCATGAATAGATTTCATCTCGTCATCAATGGCCTTCATCCATTTAGTCTTATTTCGAATCCTCCTAACTTCCTTATAGTCTCTAGGTTCTTCATCTAGAACCTCACTTGAAGAGATTAAAGCATAAGCTATAAGATTTTCATACCCAAGTCTCTGAGGTGAATTGATGACTCTTATCGGCCTATCTCTTGCCAATAGGTAGTCTTCGACAATTTCCTCAATTTTCTCAGTATCTTTAGCATCTTGTGCTTCTTCTTCGACTTGATCTAGGATACACATTTCAATATCGAGATGCTCTACCTCTGTAGGAATCTCTTCCTTTTCCAGCTCTTCTTCAGATATCTCAGCACTTCGACCAACATCATCAATTTTCTTGTAAGCCATCTCAACTTCATTGAAAACTATATATTGATTGGTAATACACCTCTTGTGACCTGGCTCTAGGCACCATAGCCTATAAGATTTGACTCCTTCAGGGTATCCCATAAACATGTATCTCAGAGTTCTAGGTTCAGCCTTGTCTTGCCTAATGTGAGCATAGGCTACGCAACCAAATACTCTAAGTTTGTCGAGATCTGATGGATGTCCCGACCAAACTTCTTCTGGTGTCTTCATATATAACAAAGTCGAAGGACATCTATTTATCAGATATGTGCTGTCGAAACAGCCTCTGCCCAAAACACTTTCTTTAACCCAACACTAGTCAACATGCATCTAAATATTTCCAAAATGGTTCAATTAAACCTTTTAGCCATACCATTTTGTTATAGAGTACCTGCAGTAGTTATGTTCCTTGCAATACTAGAGGCTGCACAAAATTGTCAAATGCCTCATTTTAAAATTCAAGGCCATTGTCGATTCTCAACCTCTTGACCTTTCTGCCAGTCTGATTTTCGACCAGAGTCTTCCAACTTTTGAAATTCTCAAAAGTTTCATCCTTGGTCTTCTGATGAATACCTATAACTTTCTGAAATAATCATCAACTATGGGTAGAAAATACCTTGCTCGTGAATGTGATGAACATCTTGTCGACCCCCAAATATTAGCATGAATATAATCAACACCGAAAAATTATCCATAACCTAACGTTGAGATTTTTAGTGTAAAAATGAAGAAAAAATTAAACCAAAAAATGATGAAGAGGATTAACATTAAAGATTGGAATATTTTATTGTTTTCGATCTTACTTTGCGAAAAATCTACCCAGATCCACAGTTCCTAAAATAACAACAACAACAACCACTCAGATACAATTTGTAAAGAAGAGAAAGAAGGAAAAAGAAGAGAGAGAGAGAGAGAAGAAAAGAAACAGTTTGTTTAGAATAAAATTAAAAGTTAAATAGAAACCGATAAATGGAAGGAGATGGAAGAAAAAAAAAAACTGTCACAGGATAATTTTAGAAGAAAAAATTGAATGGACTAAACAAAATAGAATGGTGGATACTTAGACTATCCACGTGGAGGTTTGGTTGAGCAGTAGGACATATTGAGAATTTTTAGAGCCATTAACTTTCGTTTACGATAGATTAACTTGTAAAATATTTTGTGAAATTTCAATCTTTGCAATTGAATTTTTTGTCTTTGATTATGTTTCTTGTGGCTATTAATCACATGAAAAAAGAAAATAATGAATCAATTGATAATGCACAAATTAATGATGCAAATCAGATACATAATGGTTCAATTGTGATTAAGCAAAGAAATATAATGAGAGAAAATTTAAATGCATAAAAATAAGAGTTTATTGTATTAAACAAATATTCCATCAGTCTCATAATAGGTGTCATCATTTCAATTTTTATTTGTCTCAAATTATTTGTCCATTTAGAATACCAATATGATATGTATTATTTCTTTCCACTATCTTATTCTTATTTATTATATTTTAATTCATATAACTATTGTATTATCTATTATTAATAAAATTATTTTAATAAATGAAAACCATTTTATCATTAAAATCAACATAATTAATCATTATCTTAAAAAGTGTGAAAATCTCAAAGAAAACACCTATCGTAAATCGGAGAGAGTAGATAACTATTAATGTGACTTGTCTAAAAATTTCATGACATAATAGTTACCTGGACACCAATAATTAGAGTTGCTAATGGTATTGCTTTATGTGAAAATTAAATAAACTGAATTAAATCATAGTTTAAATTTATTCGAATTGAATTGAGCTGTTTTAATTTATTTAGAATTAAATCGAACTAGAATTATTGGTTTGGTATATTGTTTTAAAATTTCTAACTGTACTAAACTGTTAGAAGACAATTTTTTCCGAACCGAATCATTTATTAAAAACCAAACTGTTAAATTTTTTTTTTAAAAACAATTAAAAAATATTTTTAATATTTTTCATTTTCAGTTTTGGTTCAATTCGATTTTGATTGGGTTCAATTTCAATTTTAGTTCTGTTCAATTTTAACCTGGGTTCAACAGTTGAGTTCATAGTTTATTTTAAACAACACTACCAAAAATAACTCTTTCCTACCATGTTAATAAACTAATAGAGCAGACAATCATTTTATTTTTTGTATATCCATTCATAAGTTTATATCTAAACTGAGAGTTTTATCTTAAAGTGTACTCCCTCCTCCATTCTAATTTATAAGAGAAATTTATTTTCTAAATTTACTTTTTAGAATTTAAAAAATAAATTTCTCTTATAAATTAGATCGGAGTGAATATATTGACTAAGAGTCATATTTACATATCAATAATAAATACATCTTCATTGTTTGGAATTTAATGTAATAAGTAAATGATACATGTCTCGTCTAAGAACCAAATTTAATCAAGAAATTTATTTGAATAAATTATTGATGTATAAGAGAAGACCATGAACTATCAGTATTATCATCTCTAACACCTATTACTGGTTCATCTTGTAGACAAAAGTATGGTTTATTAGGCATTGGCAACTCCCCATCTTCTTCTTCAAGCATCTCCAACACTTTATCCATTGAAGGACGGTCCTCAGGTTTTGTTTGTATACACCACAAAGCAACAATCATCATTTTCTTTGCCAATTTTATTTCTTGATCTGTGTCATTTTCAATTGTTACTTCTCTTCCATCATGTAACTGATCATAAATCCAGAAAGGGAAATAAATTTGGCTGGATTGCTCTGCCAATGCATTCAAGTTCTTCCTTCTACTTGCCATCTCCATTAACAACATTCCAAAGCTATAGACATCAGCTTTGTTAGATATTGCACCAACATTTCTATAGAATAATTCAGGGGCCATGTATCCAATAGTCCCCCTTGCCGCTGTTAATGTCACAATACTTTTATCCATAGGACAAAGTCTAGCTAGTCCGAAATCAGAAACTTTTGGATTGAAATTCTCATCGAGAAGTATATTATGAGGCTTTATGTCAAAGTGCAAAATTTTCATATTGCATCCATTATGCAAGTAATCAATGCCTCGAGCAACTCCAAGAGAAATGGAATATAATTTTTCACAAGTCAGGGAATATTTCTCTTCAGCATGAGAATGTATGTATTTTTCTAGTGATCCATTAGGCATAAATTCATATATAAGAGCACGTTTTGATCCCTCTACACAAAAACCAATGAGTTGCACCACATTAACATGGTGAATCCTACCAATAGTAGCTACTTCATTAACAAAATCTTGACCGTTGGACTTGGCTTTGTCCAATAACTTGACTGCTACAAGACGACCACTTCGAAGTTGTCCTTTGAAAACAGATCCATAACCTCCATGACCTAGTTTTGTTTTGAATTTTTCGGTTATCTTTTTTATGTCTTTGTAAGAGTATCTTATAGGTATGATGTTATTGTCACTTTGCAGAAAATCTTCTATTCCATTATACATTGATAAATGTTTCTGTCTCCATTTGTAGATTAACAATGCAACAATGCATGGCACTCCAAAAACAATTTTAACACCAGTTAGACAGCCAATAAACATACCTATAAAGAAAGGAAATTTATTACCATAAAAAATAGTCTTAAAAGCAATATCTAACGTCAATTTGATATCTATAAAATATTTGAATATTTACACAAGAAATTTTTATTTAAATTTTATACAAATGACATTATTGTCTCAGCCGTGCACGTATATAGTGATGCAAGTTCAAACTCATGATATTCTTTTAAGAGAGAAATTATGATTATTACACAGTTAAATAAAAAAAATAAAAAATAAATAAGGAAATGTCATTATCTTGTCTACTCTTTCAGTGAATCATTATCAAGATGACTGCAATTTTTGTTCTAGATTTTGTTTATGTTTGATAGGTATATATTGAGATTAAAAGAGAACAACAATATAAAATAAAACATAAATTAAATAAGTTTTATAATTTTAAGTTTTATAAAATATTATGAAAATAAATTTATCAAATAATTTTTTTATTTTCTCTTTTTCATAACAGTTTTAATATGTGAGTTTACCAAATATTTTTTTTCTTAATATATTTTATAAACAATTTGTTAAATTTTATTAAAAAGTTTTAAAAAGTAAAAGTAAAATCCTTTTGAACTAGTCGTAAATCTCACACTTTACTAAGTATGCATTGAGTTGATTTAAGAGAATGTGAGAACTTACCTATGTATATCAAGGTAGATATGACAGCCAAAGCCAGAAAACTCCCATTTTCTACAATAACAAAATATATAATTAACAAACAAATTACCAATGCGCCTAGTTTGAATTTTTTATTTAAAATAATTTTAACATATACATGTATAAGGAATATAATCAATTATAATTATAGTGTCAAGCTTAAAATTATAAAACTTTTAGCTACATATGAATATAACAAAATTTACTATTGAAGGAGTAATTTTCTATTGTTAAGACTCGAGTCTTATTTGTAAGTGTTTTGTTGTTGACATTTTTTTTTGATAAAACCAGTTGTGTAAATGTCATGACTGATGTCATAACATTCTGGGATACAAGGTACATTCTGCAGAAAAAGAATGTTATACAGGAGCTACTCAATATGAGTGTTTAGCTGATCATTAAGCAATGATCATATTTATTGCATTCTACCAAAATCAGTAAACAGGATTCTTGTTGTCATAACCAATGTTAAGACATCCTGTACTGATCTAACATTTGTGCAGATTTGTTATTTCTGAGAATTTTCAGGAATCTGGTTTATACAGTCCAGATCATATTCTCACGTGGACATTAGATTAACTCTGCTTAACCCTAATCTGGTTGTTAAAGACCTATGACCAAGTCTTGAGGTTAACCCTAGCTATTTTCGTGGAAGCTCTAACTGAAGAATAGCTGCCTATATATTCCTCATGAAGACTGTTGGTGAAGAACACTTTTTGACAGAAGATCAATAAGGGATTGTATAGTTGTAACTACTGTGATCCAAACAATTGTCATTGTGATAAGTGACTTGGAGTAGGATTTGATTGTAAGGGTTGTGTATCACTCAAAGCTTTGAAGTACGAGTGTTTGTGTCACTTGATTAAAGCTTTGAAGCAAAGTCAAGTTAGAGTTGTGTATCACTCAAAGCTTTGAAGCAAGAGTGTTTGTCACTTGATTAAAGCTGTGAAGCAAAATCAAGTGTGTGTACTGAAGAGTATCTTCATAATTTCATTAATCAATAGTTTCGTATCACTGCTGTGATTGAGGGGGAGTGAGCAGGAACTCAGGTTTAAGTTGATCTTAGATTGGAGTTGCATTGGGTAGGTCTTAAGTGAAGGAGATAAACTGGTTGGTTTATTCCTAAATTAATATCGCTTATAGTGCATTTCCTCCCTGGCTTGGTAGCCCCCAGAGTAGGTGTTGTTACACACTGAACTGGGTAAACAATTGATTGTGTTCTTTATTGCTTTTAAAATTAATGTCTTGAAGTGTGTCAGATACGGTGTTATAACATTCATTGTAACATTGAGTATCTGCTGCCAGAATTTCAATTGGTATCAGAGCGGGCACCCTACCTGTCTTACTGGGTGAGATCTAGGGATATTATTTTTTGGCGCTATGGACAAAGAAGGAGGATTTGGGAACAGACCACCCATTCTGGATGGATCAAATTATGACTACTGGAAACCTCATATGATTGCCTTCTTAAAATCACTGGACAAAAAGGCTTGGAGAGCTGCTGACAAAGGATGGAACCATCCCACCATAACTGGGAAAGATTGGACAACCAGTCTGAAACCTGAGGAAGAATGGAGCAAAGAAGAAGATGAGTTATCCCTGGGTAACTCCAAAGCATTAAATGCCTTGTTCAATGGAATTGATAGAAACATATTTAGACTAGTACATCAATGTGAACTGGCCAAGGATGTTTGGGACACTCTCAAAACTACCCATGAGGGCACATCCAAAGTAAAAATGTCAAGGCTTCAGATGCTGACTACCAAATTTGAGAACCTAAGGATGATGGAAGATGAGACCATTCATGAGTTTCACATGAACATCTTGGAAATTGCCAACACCTCAGGAGCATTGGGAGAAAAGATGTCAGAAGAAAAACTGGTGAGAAAGATTCTCAGATCCTTGCCTAAAATATTTGCAATTAAGGTGACTGCTATAGAGGAAGCTCAGGATATCTGCAACTTGAAGGTTGATGAACTCATTGGGTCACTTCAGACCTTTGAGATGGGGATCAGTGACAATGTCGACAAGAAAAACAAGAGCATAACACTTGTATCTAATACTGAAGATGAAAATAAGAAGGATGAAGAAGAAAATATTTCAGAAGCTATAGCCATGCTTGGAAGGCAGTTTAACAAACTCATCAAGAGAATGGACCCAAAGTCAAGGTCATATGTCAAGAACATCCCCCATGACATTAGCAGATCTTATGACTCCAGCAGAAGACCAATGTCTGAAGAGAAGGGAAATCAAAGCAAAGGAATCCAATGCCATGGATGTGAAGGATATGGGCACATTCGAGCTGAATGTCCTACCTTTCTTAAGAAACAAAAGAAAGGAATGTCTGTTACTTGGTCTGATTGTGACTCAGAAAGTAATTCTGAAGAAGAATCTGCCAAACTAGTTATTGCACTAACTGGTATTTGTAACTCTGATAGTGACTCTAGTGATGAGGAAGTAACATTTGAAGAACTGGATGACTCCTACAAGAAGTTATGTATCAGAAGTGCTGAAGTCTGTCAGCAAAATGAGAGACAAAAAAAACTCATAGTAAAGTTGGAGGCTGAGAAGAAGGTAGTCACTGATACTATAAGTCATCTCGAAAGTGAAGTCCAAATGCTAAACTCAAAACTTGATCAAATGACCAAATCTGTCAAGATGCTGACAAATGGAACAGATAAATTAGAAGAAATCCTTCAGGTTGGACAAAATGTGGGAAACAAGTCTGGTCTAGGATTTGTGGCAACAAAGAAATCTATTGTAGACAAGAAGAAAATCAGGCCTGATAAACAAATGTCAAAGCAGATGTCACAACATAGCACTCAACATCGAGAACAGAGAAATATGAAGAAAAAGTATCAAAGATGGAGATGTCATCATTGTGGGAGGTTTGGTCACATAAAGCCATTCTGCTTCAGATTATATGGATATCCTAATCAGACCCCAATTGTCAAACCTAAGTCTAACAAAGAACCATATACTCAACATTGGAAGAAAAAGGCTGCTGCCCTGATAGCTCACACCTCCCTTAGAGTCTCTGCAAAGGAAGACTGGTACTTTGACAGTGGATGCTCTAAACACATGACTGGAATCAAGAATCTTCTCAATAATGTTAAACCTCACACTACTAGTTATGTGACTTTTGGAGATGGTGCTAGAGGAGAAATCAAAGGAGTTGGAAACTTGGACTGCCCTGGAGTTCCAAACCTAAATGAAGTATTGCTGGTAAAAGGCTTGACTGCTAATCTCATAAGTATCAGTCAATTATGTGATCTAGGATTCAAGGTCAACTTCACCAAGTCTGAATATCTTGTAACTAATGAAAAACAAGAAGTTGTAATGAGATGAGTCAGATCTAAAGAAAACTGCTACTTATGGGAGTCTGAGAACACTAATTATTCTTCTGTGTGCTCTATTGCCAAAGAAGAAAAAGAAGTGAAACAGTGGCACCAAAAACTTGGTCATTTACATCTAGGAGGAAAGATAATGGTAGCTCAAATCTATGTTGATGACATAGTGTTTGGGGGAATGTCAGATAAAATGGTTAAACATTTTGCTGACCAGATGCAAGCTGAATTTGAAATGAGCCTCATGGGAGAATTGACCTACTTTCTTGGACTGCAAGTCACACAGATGGAAGACTCAATTTTTCTGTCTCAAAGCAAGTATGCAAAGAACATTGTCAAGAAGTTTGGAATGGAGAATGCCAGTCACAAAAGGACTCCTGCACCTACTCATTTAAAGCTGTCCAAAGATTCAAGTGGGGTTAAGGTGGACCAAAGCTTGTACAGGAGCATGATAGGAAGTCTGCTATACTTAACAGCCAGCAGACCTGACATTGCTTTTGTAGTTGGAGTATGTGCAAGATACCAGGCTGAACCCAAAGTAAGTCATATCAACCAAGTGAAAAGAATTCTGAAGTATGTGAGTGGAACTTACAACTATGGCTTGCTGTACTCTCATGGATGTGAACCAACTCTGACTGGTTACTGTGATGCTGATTGGGCTGGAAGTGCTGATGATAGAAAGAGCACCTCTGGAGGATGTTTCTTCTTGGGAAATAATCTTGTCTCTTGGTTCAGCAAGAAACAAAACTGTGTGTCTCTATCTACTGCTGAAGCTGAGTACATAGCAGCTGGTAGTAGCTGTTCTCAAATGATCTGGATGAAACAGATGCTTACTGAGTATAATGTCACACAAGATGTTATGACATTGTACTGTGACAATCTGAGTACTATCAACATTTCCAAGAATCCTATTCAGCATAGCAGGACCAAGCATATTGACATTAGACATCACTTCATCAGAGATCTTGTGGAGGAAAAGGCGATTAAACTGGAACATGTTGCCACTGAACTACAACTGGCTGGCATTTTTACCAAGGCACTTGATGCTAGTCAATTTGAAAATTGAGGGGCAAGTTGGGTATTTGCCAACATGAAGAAATGTAGCAATTAATTTTGCTTAAAACAAGGGATGAGAGAGATATTTTAGTTAAGTCTACTTTGATTGGGCTAATCATCCGCTTCTCTATTTCTTTCCAAAATTTTAAGAAGTTGAATAGACATTCATATATCTCCCTCCTCTCGCGTTTCTGCAACAATCACCAATCTCTCAAACGAAGATTTCACTATCACTGTTACCTGTTTTCTAAAACACTCAAAATGTCTCAACTATCCATGTTATCATCCTCTTCAAAGGCGACTGCTTCTTCCGCATCCTCTGATCGCGAACCTAGGGCAATCACAAACTGCATGGATTCTGATGTTCTGGAGATAACTCCTCTTCGTGAACTGGAAGCTGACCCCACTAAGGTCAAGAAGCTACGAACCAGACATGCAAGAAGATCACAAGCCTCTCCATCTGGTAAATCCTCTCAACCATCATCTTCTGTTCCTCCAGAAATAGCAAATAGGGAAGGTTCTGTTTATGTTCATCAAGCCATAGCTGGACTAGTCACTAGGATTCTAAATGAGAATCACTCAGTACCTGGCATTTATGTACCTTTGAACCAAGAATCTGCTAGTCCAAATGTTGAAATGAATCCAGATGTCACTCAGAATGTTGAGACACCTGATGACAACATTAGGAAATCTCCTGAAAATCATGATGATCACCAGAACCCTACTGAGAAGTATGTTGAACCCCCGATTATTGATGTTGATGAAGAATACTCTGACAATGATTTAATTGCCAAGATCAACACTAGCATAGCTAGAAGGATGATGAACAGAAAAGGAAAGCAGGATGCTGCCAAAAGCCTCTCCAAAGAGAAGGCTACTGAAGTTGTTCATAAGAAAACCGGGTCTGAGAACAAGACTGGAGTAGAAGCTGTGAAGGCTGGATTGTCAAAAGAGAAAGGGAAGGTGAAAACTAGATTACCTGTTGGTAGTCTCTCAAAACCTTTGAGACAACCAATAGCCAAGAAAAGGAAGGAGCCTGAACCCTCTGAATCTGATGAGGAATCAGAATTTGAGTTTGATGTTGAGAGTAATGTTCCAGACATTCCTCTCAGAAAGAAACTCTCTTCGAGCAAAATTGTAAGTGTTTAGTTATTGGCATGTATTTTTGGTAAAACCAGGTGTGTGAATGTCATGACTGATGTCATAACATTCTGGGTTATTAGGTACTTTATGCAGAAAAAGAATGGCATACAGTAGCTGCTCTTTATGAGCGTGTATCTGAGCATTTTGCAATGATCACATTTATTACTTTCTACCAAAGTCAGTAAACAGGATTCCTGTTGTCATAATCAATGTTAAGACATCCTGTACTGATCTAACAGTTATGCAGTTTGGTTAATTCTGAGATTTTTCAGGAATTTGGTTCATACATTCCAGAACAGAATCTCACGTGGACTTTAGGTTAACTTAGCTCAACCCTAATCTGGTTGATAAAGTCTTGTGACCAAGTCTTGAGGTTAACCCAAATTAACCCTAGCTTTTCGTGGAAGCCCTAACTGAAGAAACATCTGCATATATATTCAACAGGAAGGATGTTGGAAAAATCAACTCTTTGACAGAAGATCAACTAGGGGCTGTATAGTTTTAACTACTGTAATCCAAGCAAGTATCATTGTGATAAGTGACTTGGAGTAGGTTTTGATTGTAAGGGTTGTGTATCACTCAAAGCTTTGAAGCAAGAGTGTTTGTGTCACTTGATTAAAGCTTTGAAGCAAGGTCAAGTTAGGTTTATGTATCACTCAAAGCTTTGAAGCACGAGTGTTTGTGTTACTTGATTAAAAGTTGTGAAGCACAATCAAGTGTATGTTCTGAAGAGTGTCTTCATTATTTCATTAGTCAATTGTTTAGTATCACTGCTGTGATTGAGGGGGAGTGAGTAGGAACTCAGGTTTAAGTTGATCTTAGATTGAAGTTGCATTGGGTAGGTCTTAAGTGAAGGAGATAAACTGGTTGGT